CTATATGATTTCTTATTATCATGATACACTTCTTTAATTGTTTGAGCAGGTTTCCTCTAGATTTTTGAATATATTTATAATAGCTGTTTTCAAATCTTTTCTTACTAAGTGCAACTTTTAGCCCTTTCAGAGCCAATTTCTGTTGACTATCTTCCCCCATTTTGGCTAGTCTTTAAATTTTTGTACACATTAAGAACAACAGTTTTCCCATAAGATGTTGTAGCTATTCTGGATTCTGATTTTCTCTTCCTTGGGGATGGCAGTTATTACTTTTTGTTTGATTTGGGCAAAGAGTCTGTTTTCCCCACATTGCAAAGATTTGGATTTCTTGACTCATTTTGAAAATTCTTATTATTTTTAAGCCTGGCTTCCCAGGGATTGCCCAAATCAACTCTGTTATTGAAGTCAATTATTGGCCAGAGGTTATACTATTTTGATAGGTCAAGTCTTCTACCATTTGCATTTAAAAGCTATATTTACGTGGCTTAAGGAAGAGTTAAAAAGACTGCATTGTTTTTGTTTTTTGTGTTGTTGAAGTTTCATGGTTAATGAGTAGCTAACTAGGGACTTCAGTTTTCTCCTTTCCAGACATACAAATATGGGCATTAACAAGACCCTCTTTTGCCGATTCCCTGGATCTTGTAACTGTCAGATTTACTTTGTTGATTACCTCAACCAATATGGACCTTAGGCTATTATTGGCATTCCCTGACAGGTTGCCATTGGGATCTCTTTTTATTTTTTCAATGCTAGGGATTGAACCCCAGAGCACTGTACATGCTAGGTAAACACTCTACCACTGAGCCATACCCCAGCTGCCCATTATTTCTAACACCACCGGGCATGGATTTTTTTCATGCTTGCTTCTGATTACAGTCTGCCCTCTCTGGTAGGGAAACAGAATTGCTATTCCTCATAGTAGACTTGGCAGAACAGGATGGTAACAGCACTAAATATTTATAATGTTTCTGATTTTCAATGGATATTCTGAGAGTTAGGTTTGCAATCTGTCAGTAAATAAAGGACGTTTAATTTGTTAAATATTTAATATTTGGGTTATTGTTTGTTTAATTAGAGCAAGTATTTTGAGAAATGCTGATTGTTAAATGCTTAGTAAAGACTAATGTGAAATGTTGATGTAATTTCCACTAAGAGGAAAATTCTGAAAGCCTGGTATCATTACCAATGCAAAATATAGCTAAACCTATTTCAATAAAATTAAAGAAATAATCAATACAAATGTTGCAGATTGACTATTTAGAAAACCAAAATGTATAATAAAATCATGAATAGAAATAATAAAAATACTTGTTAAGACTGTAAACTTATATTGAAATTTAAATTGTCAATGAGGGTAATACACACAACACACACAAACCAATAATTAAATTAAAAAATCTTGTTTAGGACATCCCATGGTGGTTGGTCTCCAAGATTCCAAGGTCCTTCTAATAAAGACTTCTATAACTATATAAATTAGGATTTGAAAAATGAAAGCAAAACTGAACTCCTGTAAGTGTGGGATAGCACTATTCACTATCCTCCTTCCAAAAGTGTACTGAAACAGAGAAAAGATAGTATATTCTCTGAATCAAGCCCTTCTAGGTATAATGCAGCAGCTTTCAGAAGGAATAAACCTGTGCAACCTGGCTCTGGTGATGCACCAGGAACCTCTGAGCATCATTCCCCAAGGCTGCCCTTGAACGTCACATCCTCTAATTTTACAGAAATGCCGATTTTCACGGTGACTCACAAGAAATGACTCTCCAAGGAACATTTATTTTTTTAATATTTATTTTTCAGTTGTTGGATATAATACCTTTATTTTATTTATTTTATGTAGTGCTGAGGATTGATCCCAGGGCCTCACATGTGCTAGGCAAGTGCTCTACCGCTGAGCCACAACCCCAGCACCGTTTTATCTCTAACAACTTTTCTACCTATAAGGGAAGGGAAACACCAAAATATCTTAAGTAGAGAGAAGAACAGTTCCTGAAATTTGGACATTAGAAATAAACTGCACACTAAAGCTATGATCTGAACACAAGCAATATGTATGAAATGTATAAATACAAATGTATATTCAATTGAAATATACTTGTGTGCATGTCTATATATTCACTGCATACTATTCATGTGCCAGACTCTAATGCGTGTTGATTTGACAGTGGACAGGCAGACACCAAATAGCCCCAAAAGCCCTTCCTTTCACTGTGTGTCAAAGATGCAAGAGATTATATCACAGATTAAATATTAAGAATAAAGGGGGCTGGGGATGTGGCTCAAGCGGTAGCTCGCTCGCCTGGAATGCGTGCGGCCGGGGTTCGATCTTCGGCCCCACGTACCAACAAAGATGTTGTGTCCGCCGAGAACTAAAAAATAAATATTAAAAATTCTCTCTCTCTCTCTCTCACTCTCCTCTCTCACTCTCTCTTTAAAAAAAAAAAAGAATAGTTTTTATATCTAAAAAAAAAAAAATCTTGTTTAGGATCCAAATCCTAAACATCCATGTAGTCATGGTTCAGAAGCCCAAATTACTTACTTTTTGGCTATTTTATTTATTTATTTATTTATTTATAATTTATTTTTTAGTTTTTCGGTGGACACAACATCTTTATTTTATTTGTATGTGGTGCTGAGAATCGAACCCAGCACTGCGCACATGCCAGGCAAGCACGCTACCGCTTTAGCCACAATCCCCAGCCCCTACTTTTTGGCAATTTTAGATTTTAGATCTTTACTATTGGTCCTTTAAGAAATGAAAAAAATTCCTGACCTGTGGTCTAAATGTTATTAGTTTAAAACAATCAAGTCTGTTATCGAAGTAAGAAAGTACTCACAGACAATATGTTAATGAATATAGCAGTATTCCAATAATTTTTTCTTTCAACAAAACAGGTGGTTGGACCACAGAATAGATTGCTGGCTGCTGCTGCTGCTTTCTTTTTTGGACCAGGGATTGAACCACGGGCACTTAACCACTGAGCCACATCCCTAGCTTTTTAAAATTTTGAGACAGGGTCTCACTAAGTTGTTTAGGACCTTGCTAAATTGAGGCTGGCCTTGAATTTGTAATCCTCCTGGATTGTTGGCTTCTTATTTGAGTTTGATCAATGATTTTATCATGTATCAAGATTTATAACTAAATCAAAAAACTTAAGTCCTGGATAGTCTACATAAATGTTTTTCAATTTCATATTCTTCTGGTAGATCCTGGTTCAGTTCGGATATAATACATTTAAATTATCTATGCTCAAATTCATAACACCATTTAGCTTTTGATTTCTAGGAATTATTTTCATAGAGATGTTATACATATGTGATCCATATAACAATTAGCTGGGATAATTTTGTTAGAAATAATTTTCCTGCTTTAGGTCTTACCTGAGGTATGTACATAATATAAGAGCTGCACTTTAAAAGGGGAGTTTGCCTGGTGCAATGGTGCATGCCTGTAATCCCAATGGCTCAGGAGGCTGAGGCAGGAGGATAGCAAGTTCAAAGCCAGACTCAGAAAAAGCAAGGTGCTAAGCAGCTCAGTGAGACCTGGCTCTAAATAAAATACAAAATAGGGCTTGGGGGGTGTAGTTTGGTGGTTGAGTGCCTCAGTACACCCCTCACAAAATAAATAAAGGAGAGTATTTTTTCTCTTTGATTTAAAAAAACCTAAATTTCAAAAATGCCCAATATCATCTTTTTTTTAACCTTTATTTATTTTTTTTCATGTGGTGCTGAGGATCAAACCCAGTGCGTCACATGTTCTAGGCAAGCACTATGCCACTGAGCCACAAACCTAGCCCCCCAGTATCATTTTAAGTCAATTTTAATAAACCACATTTTTTTCCTAAGAGGATAATTTACTCTTTAGAATTTTAAATATACTGAAATAAACTTATACCTTATAATGAAATTTTTATCTCTTATTATTTATAAACATGTCCTCTTTCTTAAATAATGATGCCGTGATATAATAATTATTATTTTTTTTCTGGGCCAGATTTGCCAATATCTACTTGATATTAATATATTTTAGCAAAAAAATTAAAAATCTTGGGTTAAATTACTACTTTATTTCAAAATCCCTAAACTTCTAGACATATTCATTGGTTTCATGGAAAATAAATAAAACTTTAGAGTCTCATGCTCTACCAAATGAGCTAGCCAGGCACCTGTAAAATTTTAAAAGAAGAATTTCCAATGAGTAGAGGACTATCAACATTCCAAAGTTCTGATACACGGGCATTTTGGAATAGGCCCTCATTTCTATATTAATTTTTTAATCATTTTAGGGCTTTCACATGAGTTTATAATTTTCAGAGAGGTGACAAAATATCACCATGATGATTAATAATATAAAATGGATCGTTATAATCAAGTAGTCACTTCTGTAATCAAGTGATAATATCTATCATCATTAATACAGGTTGAGTATCCTTTATTTTAAGTGTTTGAGACTAGAAGTGTTTCAGATTTAGGATTTTTAAAAAATTTTAGAATACTGGCATATGCATAAGTGAGACATCTTGAGGACAGGATCCAAGTCTAACCACTAAATTCATTTTTCCATATATATAGCCTAAAGATTATTTTGTGTAATATCATGAGACACAATATGACAATGGTCCTATAAGACAATATTGCCTACTGATATCATAGCTGCCTTAATTTGTGTAACTACACTATGATGTTTGCACAACATCTAAATTGCCTAATGGTGCATATCTTAGAACGTATCCCTGCCTTTAAGTTATACATGGCTTCTTTTTATTTTTTCAATATATTTTTTTAGTTGTTGATGGACCTTTGTTTTTTTTAAAGTATTTATTTTTTAGTTGTATTTGGACACAATACCTTTATTTATTTATTTTTAAGTGGTGCTGAGGATCAAACCCAGGGCCTTGCACATGCTAGGGGAGTGCTCTACCACTGAGTCACATCCCCAGCCCCTATTTATTTGTTTATTTATATGTGGTGCTGAGAATCAAACCCAGTGCCTAACACATGCTAGGCAAGTGATCTGCCACTGAGCCACAACCCCAGCCCCATCATAACTTTATTTTAAATGCACATATTTTGACCTGTCACATGAAGTCAGGTATGAAAGTTTCTACTGGTATCATTATGTTGGTGCTTAAAAAGTTTCCGATTTTGAAGCATTTCAAATTTGGGGTATTTTGGGGGGGAGAAAAGGGGAACCAGTTTTAAACCCAGAGGCATTCAACCACTGAGCCACATCCCCAGCCCATTTTTTTATTTAGAGACAGTCTCATTAAGTTAATTGGGCCTTGCCAAGTTGTTGAGGCTGGCTTTAAACTTGTTATCCTCTTGCCTCAGCTTCCCAAGGTTCTGTGTGTGCCACTAGGTCTGGAAAATTTTGGATATTTAAAAAAAATTTTTTTTAGTTGGACACAATACCTTTATTTATTTATTTATTTATTTTTATGTGGTATTGAAGATTGAACCCAGTGCCTCACATGTGCCAGACAAGCACTTTTCCACTGAGCTACAACCCAAGCCCCAAATTTTGAATTTCTGGATTTGAGATGCTGAACCTGTACTGGGAAAACTCAACATTATATATTTTTAATTTATACACATCAACTACATGAATCCTTTTGTTTAACTCAGATTTACTGGAACTAATAGAGATAGAAGAACAAGATAAATGGGCTGGGGGCTTAGCTTAGTAGTAGAGTACTTGCCAAGCATGTGTGAGGTCCTGGGTTTGATTCCCAACACCACAAAAACAGATAAATGCTTCCCAAGAAAAACAATTTTAATAATCTACAAATTATTCTATACCCTTCAAAAATCCAAAGTCATAAAAAATTATAGGGAAGTTGCTCTGAAACAGGAGTTAGCAACTTAAAAAAATATTTTAGAAACTGGATAATAGAATTCTTTGTAACTATCCAACTTTGCTAGAGTAATGCAAAAGTAACCAGACACTATATAAAGAAATATATTTTAGCAGAACTCCAATAAAACTCATGATTTAAATCCTCTTTTAAAAAAATTCTACTATATTTTAACCAGAAAGGATTATTTTAAACTAACAAAGTATAAGAAATTACATGAAGCTTTTATAAAATTATTCTCAGTATATGGAGTTTATTCTCATAATAATTCATCCATAGTAATATAAATAGTATAAAATAGTATCTATTACTTACTAAACAGAGACAATGTGAAAAAGCTTTCCAACTTTTCTCATTTCCAATAATGGCACTATAATATATTTATTATTGTTCTTTGCACAGGACTCCCAGAAGGACAAACGTTGTGACCAATGTCATACAGGCTGTAAATAATAGAATGGAAACCACAAGTTTTTCTACCTTTGTTAGATCAACAGGTGCTTCCTGTGATGTGAGCTTTCTTGAGTTAATAATTGATACAGGTGGAAGACTTTTATAAATAAAGCATAAAAAACAAAGACATTTCTACATTCTCTGAATTTTCCTCTAAGGTGACTGACTATACTAACAATTTATGTACAGAGAAACATAAAGATTTTCTTACACTATGTAAAAATAAATTAGAAATTCTTTGAATAGGAACAATATTTGGATCATTGCTTAAAAATTTGAAATATTATTTATATTCTGAAGGGTTTCGCACCATAAACCATTTAATGCCTTAGAAAAACCATATTTAAAAGCATTCCCACATTCTTTTATTTTCTCTTTTTTTCTTTTGGTACTGGGGATTGAACCCAGGGGTGCTTAACCAATGAGCCACATCCCCAGCCCTTTTTACCTTTTATTTAGAGACAGGATCTTACTGAGTTGCTGAGGCTGACCTTGAACTCATGATCCTCCTGCCTCAGCCTCCCAAGCTCCTGGGATTACAGGCCTGTGCCACATTCTTTTCAAATTATTTGTTATGAATACACTGATACACTACACACTGCCCACTGCATATATGTGCATTTCTATAAAACTTTCATCCATAAAGTTTTTTTCTAGTTATGAATTCTTTGATGTACTTTAAGACTTGACCTAAGTCTAAAGGATTTCCCACATTTATTACATTCAAAAGGCTTCTCATCACTGTGAATACTCTGATGTCGAGTAAGTCGTCCACAGACAGTAAAGGCCTTTCCACATTCCTTACATTCATAGGGTTTCTCACCAGTATGAATTCTCTGATGTACAGTAAGTTGATGGCCACTCTTAAAGGCTTTCCCACACTCTTTACATTCATAGGGTTTCTCACCAGTATGAAGTTTATGATGCATTCTAAGGCTTTCAATATGACTAAAGGCCTTACAACAGTCCTTACATTTATATGGTTTCTCACCAGTATGAATTCTCTCATGTCTAACAAGGTCTGAGGTACGACCAAAGGCCTTCCCACATTCTTTACAGATGTAGGGTTTTTCACCAGTATGAATTTTTTGATGTGTCCTAAGGCTACCACCATGAATAAAGGCCTTCCCACATTCTTGACATTTATAGGGTTTCTCACCAGTATGCATTCTCTCATGTTGAATTAGTGCTGAGGCACGAGTGAAGGCCTTCCCACATTCATTACATTCATAGGGTTTCACACCAGTGTGCATTCTCTGATGTGGAATGAGTTGATAGATACGACTAAATGTCATCCCACATTTTTCACATTCATAGGGCTTCTTGCCTGTATGAATTGTCTCATGTTGAACAAGATTTGAGGCACAACTAAAGGCCTTCCCACATTCTTTACATTTACAGGGTTTCTCACCAGTGTGAATTCTGTGATGTACTCTAAGATCTATACTGCGACTAAAGGTCATCCCACATTCACGACATTCATAGGGTTTTTCACCAGTATGAATTCTGTCATGTTGCACAAGGTGAGAAGCTTGACTAAAGGTCTTCCCACATGCCTTACATTCATAGGGCTTCTCACCAGTATGAATTCTCTGATGAATTTTAAGTTTTCCACCTTTACTAAAGGCCTTTCCACATTCATGACACACATAGGATTTCTCACCAGTGTGAATTTTTCCATGTTGAGTCAGGTAGGAAGCACGACCAAAGGCCTTCCCACACTCTTCACATTGATAGGGTTTCTCACCTGTATGTATTCTCTGATGAACTTTAAGGTCTATATTACGACTAAAGGTCATCCCACATTCCTCACATTTATAGGGTTTTTCACCCGTATGAATTTTCTGATGTTGTAACAGGTTAGATGCACGATTGAAGGCCTTTCCACATTCCTTACACTCATAGGGCTTCTCACCAGTATGAATTCTCTGATGTACTATAAGGTCTGTATGACGAGTGAAGGCCTTTCCACATTTGTCACATTCCTTGGATTTCTCACTATTGTGAATTCTTTGATGTAGAGTAAGAGATGAATATTTTCTATAGAGGTGTACTTTCTCAGAGCTGATTTTTTCATATCTTGACTCCAAATCTAAAAGAAATAAAAATCTTTTGTCTTCCTGGATGCCAAAAAATAAATGTTCTATAGATTCTTAAAGATTTTTAAATGCTACCAATTAGAGATGAATACTTGAAAGAACTCTAAAATCAGCTCTTTAACTTGCAGTTATTACGATAATGTCTCCATAACATTCACTTATCACATTTTATTACAGTGATTAAATGTATTCCTTCTATATCATTCCCATATACAATGTAAATATATTAAAAGCAACTATTTATTGATTTTTAACCAATTATATTTCTCCTTAAAAAGAATATTATGATTCCTTCCTATGCACAGCCATGTAAACTTTTTGTGGTTTTCCATATCAAATGAAGCACTAAGTTTTTATTATCTTTGCTGAGATTTTCTTATTGTTCATTCTACAAGTGTTTCATCTATTTTATGCCTTCATATTTTTTCTCAGGTATTCTCTCACTTTCCCTTTTAATCAGGGTTGATTGTTCTGGTAATTCCGAGATGAGTCTGTCAATGAATTTTCAGGTAAATACTAGGTTTATACCCTAATGAAAATCTTAAGGAATTCTGAGCTTCTGGGTACTTCAGAGAGAAAAAAAACCAAAAACCAGAAAGTGATCTAAACAGGAATCTAGAGGAAGAGTGATAGGAAATATATGAAAAGGAATTGAAACATTTACCTTGGAGGATAATAATCTAGAAGGAATAGCTTAGCTGGGCACCATGGCATATGCCTGTAATCTCAGCTCTTTGGGAGGCTGAGGCAGGAGGATTGAAAGTTTGAGGGCAGCCTGGGAAACCTTATAAGACACTGACTCAAAATTTAAAACAAAATTTTTAAAGATCTGGGTATACCACTGGGTTCATCCTCAGTTCTGAAAACAAAACAAACAACAACAAAAATTTAAAACCACTAAACGACAAACAAACAAATTTCAAAGATGTGAGTATAAAGAAAAGATGAATAGAATATAAAAAGGAAAAAGAGACTGGGGCTGCGGTTATGGCTCAGTGATAGAGTGCATGTCTAGCATGTGTGTGGCACTGGGTTTGATCCTCAGCACCATATAAAAATAAACAAAATAGGGCTGGGGTTGTGTGGCTCAGTGGCAAAGTGCTTGCCTAGCATGTGTGAGGCACTGGGTTTGATTCTCACCACCATATATAAATAAATGAATAAAATAAAGGTTCATCAACATCTAAAAATATTTTTAAAAATAAAGTATTGTGTCCATATACAACAAAAATAATATTAAAAAATGAATTAGGTAAAATATCTGGGGAAATGATGCTGATAACACACTAAACTTGATATAAAGCTTACAACCACAGTAGGCTGGGGTTGTAACTCAGTGGAATAGTATTTGCCTAGTATGACTGAGGCACTGGCTTTAATTATCAGCACCACATAAAAATAAATAAAGATCTATTGACAAATAAAAAAGTATTTTTAAAAAAGCCCAGTGAATGCCAATTACAACAGGTGAAAGGAAAATCTGCCTAGACAAATAAACTACTGAAAACTACAGATAAAAAACTCTTTAAAGCAGAAAAAAAAATGTCTTCTTATATTCAGAGGAACAATGATTCTAACATCAGAGTTTTCTCATTAGAAACTGTGGAGGCCACAGCTGAACATGGTGGTGTATACCTATAATTCCAGCTACTCAGAAGGCTGAGGCAAGAGGATCCCAAGTTCAAGGCCAGCCTTGGCATCTTAGTGAGAACCTATCTCAAAATAAAAAAAAGTCTGGGGTTGTAGCTTAGTGGTAGAGAGCTTGTCTTGCATTGTGAGGCACTGGCTTTGATCCTCAGCACCACATAAAAATAAAAAAATAAAGGTAATTAGGATTACACTGGTTGTGTAATCCTATATCATGTACAACCAGAAGAATGAGAAGTTAAACTTCATTTATGAATGATGTGTCAAAATGCATTCTATTGTCATGTATAACTAATCAGAACAAATTAAAAAATTGAAAAAATAAATTTAAGTAAATAAAAGCAAGTTTTAAAAAATAAAGGTATTATGTCCATCCACAACTAAAAATTTTTAAAAAAGAATCTTTTCTAATGACAATGGAACAAAACTAGAAAAAAACAACAGAAGGGCAAAACAACCAATGCTTCAGACAAGAATTGGTCAAAAAATCACATGGGAAATTAGAAATTATTTTAAGGCAAATGAATATGAAAATAGAACATACCAAAATTTATGGATGCAGCAAAAGCAGTGTTTTCAGTCTTTCACCATGGAGTATGATGTAAACTTTGGGCTTTTCATATATGACATTGTCTTAGCCTATTTTCTGTTGGTATAAAATACTGGAAACTGGGCAATACTTGAAGAATAGGAATTTATTTTGGCACATGGTTCTGGAGGCTGGAAGACCAAAATTGGATAACTATGTGTGGTGAAGGCTTCCTGCTATATAATAACATGGCAGAAAAGTAAAAAAAACAAGTTGGACTGTGTAGAAGAAACAAAACACAAAGGGTGGCCTTACAACAACCTGCTCTCCAGTTATCTAATTCATTCCTTCAGAAAAGCATTAATCCCTCTTAACAGAATTAACTCTAAAAGGTCTCACCTCCCAATACTGCCAAAATAACAACCATATTTCAATACGAGTTTTGGAGGGAAAAAAACATGTTTAAACTGTTTTAGATTTTATTACATTGAGGTAGATTCCTAGTTTGTTGAGTTTTTTAATCAGGAAAGTGTACTAAATTTTGTTAAATTATTTTCCTGTACCTTAAGAATTAAGACAATTTTTCCTTTTATCCTGTTAATGTGATGTATAACATTGATTTCATACAATCACTATCCTTGCGTTCAAGAATTAAGACCCACTTGGTCATGGAGTATAATCTTATTAAGTGCTGTTGACTTCAGTTCACTAGTATTTTTGCTGAAGACCTTTGTATCAATATTCATAAGTGATATTGGTCTATAGGTTTCTTGTAGTGTCTTTGTCTGGTTTTGGTACCAAAGTCTCATAGAAAGCATTTGTGGCCTAAGCTCTTACACTTTACCTCTTTCCTCAAATTTCATCTCCTCAGAGATGATCAACAGTTCTTTTTTAAGTGTGTGTGTGTGTGTGTGTTTGTGTGTGTGTGTATTTTAGTTGTAGTTGGACACAATACCTTTATTTTATTTATTTATTTTTATGTGGTGCTGAGGCTCAAACCCTGCACCTCAAATTTGCTAGGCCTGGATTCTATCGCTAAGCCACAACCCAGGTCCTTATCATTAGTTCTTGATCATCTTACCTTACCTAAATTTATCCTATTAATTTTTTTTTGTACCAGGAATTGAAGCCAGGGGTGCTTAACCACTGAGCCACATCCTTAGCCCTTTTTAATATTTTATTTAGAGACAGGGTCTGCTAAGTTACTTTATTTAGGGCCTTGATAAGTTGCTGAAACTGAATTTGAATTTGCAATCCTCTTGCCTTGGCCCCCAGAGCCACTGGGATTACAAGCATGTGCCACCACACCTGGCTGCCTATTCTTGGTTAGTTTCCTTCATAGTATATTTACTACTTGATACTACTTATCTATTTTTTATAGTGCTATTATATGTCTTCCCTAATATATTAACTCCATTAATTTCTTTGCCAAATACAGGAATGAATACACTTTTAGGCAATAAAGCCACATATATAAATCTAAGCGAATGCAGGTTTGGAAATCAGTTGGGTCCAAAATACAAGTGAAAGGGCATTAAGAAAGAATTAATGAATGGGGAGGGAAATATGAGCCTAAAAAATTGTGTGGTTAATTAAGGTGAAGATGAAGCTCATTGTAGCTCATGCAGAGTATTTATCTCTTCTCTACATCAGAATCCTTTTCTTTACTATGAATGAATATTTCCAACCAACATTTCAAGTGTGACTCTTCCTTGACTACTTGGGCTACTGCTTGTAGATGGCTTTCCATAGCCAGATTTACTCTTATTTATTTACCTTTATGCCATTTTCTTGTTTCTTTCTTTACAATCATCCAGGGCTCTTTTCCTTGCTCCAATAATGTGATAACATCTGGCTTAGAAATGGAATGGCCTGTTTAAAAAGAAAAAAAAAAGTGCAATGCAACATGATACAAAAAAAAAATACATTATTGCCAGGCATGGTTGGTACATGCCTATAATCCCAGCAACTCAGAAGGGTGAGATAGGAAATTTGAAGCCAGACTAAGGAAATTAGTGAGTCCATGTCTTAAAATAACAAAAAAGGGGTTGGGGATGTATGTCTGTGATAGAGTGCATCTGGGCTCAATCCCTAGTACCACAACAAAACTAAACAAACCCAAAATTGTACTAAAGTAAATTAAAGGTCAAAAAAAATGTTGAAGCCAGGCATTGTAGTACACATCTGTAATCCCAGTGACTTAGGAGGATTCTAAATTCAAAGCCAGTCTCAGTAACTTATTGAGAATTAGGGGTGTGGCTCAGTGGTAAAGTACCCCTGGATTTAATCTTCAGTACCCACCCCCAAAAAAGATATTGAATGAGATTTTTAAGAAGAGAAAGTAAGGAAATTAAAGAATAAAACATTAAACTGGGTACACTGATACATGTCTGTAAGCCCAGATACTTGGGAGGCTAAGGTAGAAAGATTACAAGGTTTGAGGCCAGCCTCAGTAACTTAGTGAGACTGTCTCAAAATTAAAACAAAAAGGGCTGGGATGTAGTTCAGTGTAACATACCCTTGAGTCCAATCCCCAATACTGAGAAACAAACAAACAAAAACCATAATATACACATTTGTATCCTCTTTTTCTTTTTTTGGGGGGGGGTAGCGGGGTACCAGGGATTGAACCCAGGGGTGCTTAACCACCAAACCACACCCCCAGCTCTTTTTTATATTTTATTAGAGACAGGGTCTCACTGAGTTGCTTAGGGCCTCACTAAGTTATTGAGTCTGGATTTGAACTTGTGATCCTCCTGCCTCAGCCTCCTAAATTGCTGTGATTACAGGCATATGCCACGGTACCTGGCTGTATCCTCTTTTTCTTGATAGCATATATAATACCATGGTTGAAAATACTGTGGGGCTGGGGTTGTGGCTCAGTGGTAGAGCACTCGCCTAGCACATGTGAGGCCCTGGGTTCTATCCTCAGCACCACATAAAAAATAAATAAAATAAATAAAAGTATTGTGTCCAACTACAATGAAAAAATAAATATTAAAGAAAATACAGACTCTACTGGGTGCTGTAACACATGCCAGTAATCCCAGTGACTTGGGAGGCCAAGATTGCAAGTTTGAGGATAGTCGCAACAATTTAGTGAGGCCCTAAGTAACTTAATGAGAACTGGTCTCAAAATAAAATATGAAAAGAGTTGAGGATGTAGCTCAGTGGTAAAGTGCCCCTATGTTCAATCCCCATCACTAAAAATAAATAAATACAGAAAGAAAGAAAATATAAATTCTGAAGCCTATTAACAATTTCTGTCTTTCCACCTTCTAGCTGTGTGTGAACTTGGTCTGGTCACTTATGCAAAATGTGTTGCAGTATTTTCATTTGGAAATGGGAATAATAATAAGGTTGAATTTAATAAGGATCAAATGTATACATAGGTATCTGTATTATAAAGTGCTTAGAGCACTGCCTCTGTAAACATATTTATAGATTACAATTTTTAACTACAAATCAGATAAAATTTGCCTAAATAAATGAAATGTGTTTGCTTCATTTTTAAATGAATTCTACTTATTTAATTCAACAAATTGTAGAGGTTCTTTTAGTAATTAGAGCAATTTAGGACCCTCTGTCAAGCTATTCTCCCTGTGAATGAATCAGACAGATATTCTGAACATAAATAGGGAACCTGGATCCTTTAATAATTGTTATATAACATGTCACAAAATCCTAATGTGGCTCCTTCTCATAAACGAAGAGAGTTGACTCTTAAGTAGAACCAGACAAGGTGTTCTACTTAAGAAAGACAGGGAATGAGTCAAATGTATAATATGTCAAGATCATTGTATTGTCATGCTCAACTAATATAAAAAGAAAGAAAGAAAGACAGGGAAGATGAATATGTTTATAATAGAATTGCCTCTTCTAACCCAACAAAGTTCAAGTTGCTTCTTTGGGGAAAAGGGAAAAGAAATGTAATCAGTTTCTTTAAAAACTTGCCTTGAAAATCAGAATTAAAAAAAACACATAGAGAGCAGATTCTAAATTATCTTAAATTATTCAAGGCCAAAAACATACCCAGTGAGACTAAGTTACCATAGTTCTCCATCATCACATCCCGGTACAAGGTCTTCTGGAAAGGGTTCAGACATTCCCATTCCTGCTGAGAGAAGTCCATGGCCACATCCCTGAATGTCACCGACCCCTGAAATGGCAAACCTGTGTATTATTGCAGACATTAAAGGAACATTGTGAAGATGGTACAGAAGAGATAAAGATTGTATTGCATGAAGAAAGCAATAATACAAGCCTTTGGGCTACACATCTATAATATGGAGGGGACTGAAGCAGAATGTATACATGGTTTTGAAGAAAATTGCCAAGGAACCATCAACAACCACTTAAGTGAGCTTTGAAACACCTATCCAAAGTTGAGTCTTAATCTTACTACATTCTTCAATAACACTTTCATCATCTTTTTAAGAGATCCAGAGGGGCTAGGGTTGTGGCCTAGTGGTGAAACACTTGCCTAGCATGTGTGGATCACTGGATTCAATCCTTGGCACAGCATATTCACAGTGGCACACACCTGTAATCCAATGGATCGTGGAGGCTGAGGCAGGAGGATGGGGAATTCAAAGCCAGCCTCAGCAAAGGCAAAGCACTAAGCAACTCAATGAGACCTTGTCTCTAAATAAAATACAAAATAGGACTGGGGATGTGGCTCAGTGGTCTAGTGCCCTTGAGTTCAATCCCCAGGACCAATAAATAAATAAATAAAAGTAAAGGTATAGTGTTTACCTACAACTTAAAAAAAAAAAATCGGGTGATGAATGGGGTGGATCCAGAGCCAGAAAGGTAAAATTAGCCATGTCTAACTGACCCACAGAAACTGAAATAAATGTTTACTACTTTAAACTATTAGGGTTTGCTACTTTATTAGGTTTCAGGATAATTTATTATTTAGTAATAGATAAAAAATATATTAGAGGATAGGTTGTGGCTAAGTGGTAGAGTGCTTGCCTAGCACTTGTGAGGCACTGGGTTTCCCAGCACCATATATAAATAAATTTTTTAAAAAGATGTTGTGTCCATCTAAATACCTAAAAAATTAAATATGTGTGTGTGTGTGTGTTTTGTGTGTAAAAATGCTGAGGAAGGAAAATGAATATACATAATACCCAAGTTAATATGTCCCATTTAATATCAGAATACCGGAATACTCTTTTTTCCTTTGGTACTGGGATTGAACCCACAAGACCATCTGGTTATTCAATGCCAAATTTCTATCTTCACTATTTGGCAATCTCAAGTCTGTGAAAATTTCCGTTTTTTCATGTATGTCAATACTTTCATTTGTCTATCTCACCAAACTAGACTTTGACATGGAAGGTATAAATCTTTACTTCAAAGGACTTAAGTCCATCACTGCCCTTCATAAATAAATGGGCACTTAGATATGTTGAAAAATTTGGTCAGTAATTATATGATCACTTGTAAGTTTATTATTTAATTTTATTTATTTATTTTTTTGGTACTGAGGATTGAACCCAAAGCTGCTTAACCTCTGAGTCACATCCCCAGCTCCTTTTATTTATTTTTTTTTTAAATTTTGAGACAGGGTCTCACTAAGTTGTGGAGGGGCTTACTTAATTTTTTATTTTGAATTTTTGAATTTTTCTTTTTTCCTGCAGTATTGGGGGTTGAATCCAGGGCCTCCACATGGTGAGTAAGCACTCTACTATTAAGTCACATATCCTACCTAGAATGAGCAGGTAAGTTCAGGGAGGATGCTGGGTAATTTGTCATGACAGTTCTGTGGAAGAACAAGAACTAGAAGCAGATTATTTGAAGAAAATTTTTCCTGATTGGAAACTTTTGGGAAAACTACCAACACACATAAATCAACAAGGAGAGAAACATCAACTTACATGGGCCATGGTTTCGTCTGCAAGAGTAGATCGGTCCTCAGGTTTACTCTATCAGAAAGCACAGCCAGAGCTGGGAGAAGAGGAAGATCTTGAGTCCACTTTTGCATTAGTATTCCTAACAAAACATAAGTTTCTTAATTGTTGTTATGCACTTCCATTCCAAGTTCCAAACTATTTCCTATCACATACAACTTGGGCAGATTAGAGTTCTAAATCACAAGGGTATCATAGAACAGAGATATTTCTGCACTGAACTTAGCATATGTTAGCATAAGTTTTCTGGTCACTGAATGAGTCTGGTGAGGCAGATGTATAGATCTGAAGTTAAACAACAGAGTATTGATCTGAGCAGATCATCTTCCTTTTATTCCTACCTTCCAAGACTGAAAATAGCCCTAATCATCCAAATCACAACCTCTTTTGTGGCTTTGCAATTGAAGTTGGTTAAGATATTGGAAATTCAAAGGCAGTGCTCTGTATTTTAAGTCTGGCAAAGCTTAATAGAATACAAAGTAGACATAAAATGTGAAGTTGGGGGAAAAATTTTAAGGATGTAGAAAACATTCCAGATATACTGCCAGAGAAAAATCATACTGACCAACATAATAACTATTGATGTGAAATATATGAAAATATCAATCAATAGAGAAAAAAATAACAGACCACTGAAATCAGTAGACAGAAGTCAGGAAGGTTATATAGCCATTTATAAACAATGGTTTTTTTAAAGTTTTTCATAATATTTGTAAAAATGACTAGAGGTCAACTTGAAATATGTAGTGTATTCTTAAAAACTTAAGATGTTCTCCCAAAATGAAGAGACTTTAAGAATATTCTTTGTAAATTTAAGTTGTTTGACTTGAATGGCTTTTCTTAGTTTCCTTTTAGATATCAATATCCAAACTCACTTTATCATTTCTTCTCAAGTATGCTAGAGAGTTCTACTTAGAAAAAATGGAGAGCAGACTTCATTCAGCATCATCAATCTGTAGGACATGATCTGGTAAAATGAAAAATCTTAAAAAAAGAATCTTATGCTCCCATACAAGATGGGGATTTAAGTGAATATAAATATTAGAGTCTTCAGAAAATATTGTATGTACTTGCAAGACAGCTTGACAGCAGATATTGGTGACATTTTTTCCAAAAGTTATTTTTAAAACATTATTAATTCTGAAAGAATGTCTATGTAATTAAGTTTAACATAACATTTCTGGGGCTGGGGATGTGGCTCAAGTGGTAGCGCGCTCGCCTGGCATGCGTGCAGCCCGGGTTCGATCCTCAGCACCACATACCAACAAAGATGTTGTGTCCGCCGAGAACTAAAAAATAAATATTAAAAATTCTCTCTCTCTCTCTCTCTCTCTCTCCTCTCTCCTCTCTCCTCTCTCACTCTCTCTTTAAAAAAAAACATAACATTTCTAATACCTAAAGTTGTAAAGTTAGACTTTTCAAGCAAGGAGATCCTTGGCTGCTTCTTTCAATATACACAAAGGTATATGAGTGATTCAGATTTCTTTTGCAAATTAAGAGAACTCTTTGCCTCCTTTATTTGATCAGGTCTTTTATGTCAAAACAGAACCACAAAGAAATATAAACATAAAAATTGTAAATGTACAAACCAAAATATTAAAAGTTATTATCTCTAGGCAGGGAGGTTAAAAGACTAGTCTTACTTTCTTCTTCATTAATTCCTTAAGGAATGATTTTTTTGGCAAAGCTATATTATTTCCGTCATCTAAATACAACATAAAGATATTCCAAAGTATTAAAATGTATAAAAATAATTATTAGAGGGCTGGGATTCTGGCTTAGTGGTAGAGCACTCGCCTAGCATGGGCAGGACCCGGGTTCGATTCTCAGCACCACATAAAAATAAAGGTGGCGGGGCTGGGGATGTGGCTCAAGCGGTAGCGCGCTCGCCTGGCATGCGTGCGGCCCGGGTTCGATCCTCAGCACCACGTATCAACAAAGATGTTGTGTCTGCCGAGAAGTAAATAAATGAATAAATAAAAAAAAAATAAAGGTGTCCATCTACACCTAAAAAATAAATATTAAAAAAATACTTTTTAAAAGATATCATTATTGGAAAAGGCTAAATTTTTGACATTAAAAATCTCTGTAAATACTAGGTCTGTCATGAAAAATCAAAGTGATTGAACCAAATAACACTTTTTTTTTTTTTGTCCTGGGGATTGAACTCAGAGGCCTGAGCCATATCCCCAGTACTTTTTTGTATTTTATTTAGAAACAGGGTCTCACTGAGTTGCTTAGCACCTTGCTAAGTTGCTAAGGCTGGCTTTGAACTGGTGATCCTCCTGCCTTAGGTTCTGGAGCCACTGGGATTACAAGCATGAGCCACCACACCTGGCACTTAACTATTCTTGAATATCCTTTACCTCCATAGCACTGATATAATTAGACACATTTCATTACAAAGATTCTTCAATTAGTAGAGAGAGAGAATGGCCTTTGTAAGCTAAAGAAATGTGTATGACAAATAAGCAGAAAAGTTTTGGGTATAGAAAAGATGCTCAATGAAATGTGGCTACACCCCCATCTATTCTTCTCTAAAGAGTTAATTAAAATAACATTTTGTACAATTCTTCTAAAAGATTTTTTCCAAAATTCTATTTTTAAAATTAAGCTGCATATATAATTTAAAATTTTATTGAGTCCTTTTTTCCCCCTAGTACTGAGGATTGAATCCAGGGCTTTGCTTATGCTAAACAAGAGCTTTACTGATGAGCTACTTTTTATTTTGAGATAGGGTCTCATGTCCAAACTGGCCTCCAACTTAATAATTCTCTTGCCTCAGCCTGAGTATATGGGATTATAGGCATGTGTCCCCATGTCCAGCTACCTTGAGTACCCTCATGCATGTATGAAGACTGTTTAACATTAGCTTATTGTGCTTTCTTACTTAAAATGATTAATTTTTATAAAGAGAAAATTTTATTATCTGCAAAATATTCTATCCAATGGAGTCTATGTGCTTTTCTTAACTATTCTCACAATCTCAATGACAAAATCTTCGATTTTATATCAAAAATCAGTCTTGAATCTTCTGGGTTATGTACACTCTTGAAAAATACAAATTTACAGCAATTATCTATACAAATTCAAGGGTTGTGGTTCCCTATATACTTATAAATAGAGACAAAAGACAACTGGTTAAGAATGCCTGTTCTGGATTCCACCTTTTGGGTCCCCTTCTTCCTCTGGGAGAAGTCTTTTCTGCTGTCCTTTAATAAACTTCTAATTTCTACTCTAAAAAAAAAAAGAATGCCTGTTCTTCAAATTTGGAGCCAAACTATTACAATACAAGGACACAAGATAATTAACTTCGTATTTCGTTACTTCTGACTATAGAAACCTAAAAGAGAGCTAGAGGCAGTGGGAGTTTGCCTGTAATCCCAGTGACTCCAGAGGCTGAGACAGAGGATCCCAAATTCAAAGCGAGCCTCAGTAATTTAGCAAGGCTCCATCTCAAAATAAAAAATAAAAATAAAAAGAGGGATGTGGCTCAAGTGGTAGCACCCTGGCCTAGCATTCGTGAGGCACTGGGTTCCATTCTCAGCCCGACATAAATGTGAAGTAAAGATACTGTAAAGATACTGTGTCCACCAAAAACTAAAAAATAAATATTAAAAAAAAAAAAGAGCTGGGGATGTGGCTCAGTGGTTAAGTGCTCCTGCATTCAATCACCAGTACCAACCACAAAAAAGAGAGAGAGAAGAAAGAAGAGAGAGAGAGAGAGAGAGAGAGAGAGAGAGAGAAAGGAAAGAAAGAAAGAAAAGAAAGAAAGAAAGAAAGAAAGAAAAAAAGAAAGAAAATGAAGCCTAAAGAGGAGTGATCCAGAATAACCACAAGGCTCAGTATTTATTACATTACTTCTTCCTTAGTTACGTTGTGGTGACCTCATACAAAGACCTGGGTGAAATTAGAAGAGGGTTAACCTATATCAGCGTTCACAGCAGTTCCTTGAGTGAGAGCTCAGGGAAAGTCGCAGTTGTCAAGCAGAAGACTGCAGAGTTCTCCAAGGTAGGAATCCCATTTCTAATTCTATTCTGATGTAGTTCTAGGAGCCTGATTCGGGGCAATTCCTGACTTACAATTCCCATCCTAACCGCAGGTCTGTAGCTTCTTCTGGAAGCAGTTATGTAGAGTTCAATATCTGATTTCCCACTTGGGACCATTTCTCTGTGGCAGTCAGTCAAAAGTGGCTGTTAGAGGATGCAGGAAGCGACAGGGAACCTGCAGCCTCACGTCACAGCAATGCACGCTCAGGTAATGGGCACGCACCCTGTGTCCCCGCCACAAAAGGACAACCACGCACTGCCAGTCTCAACACCCACCGACACCGAGGCACGCGCGGCCCTGTCAAGAGCAGCACCGTCTCACCTTCGGGGCCGCATACCCGCCGCTCCTCGGCAGCTGCAGCACCCACCGCCTCGTGGGCAGGCAGACCCGCCCTGCGCGGTCGGGGCCTCGGAGCCTTGAGTACCTCCCGCCACCAGGCTCTCGCGGGTCACGCAGGGCCTGCGGCGGCTGTGTCAGCAGTCTTTTTTGCAGACACCCACTCCGACTTATATCTCAGGTGGGACGAAGTCACAGCGCGCGAGGAAAGGTATCAGAAACGGAGCCAGAGGTCGCAGTTATATCCGTATCTCGTGAGAAATGTCCACACTAGGCTGTCTCGGCCCGTAGCCGCCTGTGGGAAATGGAGTCCACGGCCGAGAAAAACTGAGGACCGCGCGCCCCGCCCACCGCCGAGTCCCGGCGCCTTCTGGGAGTGGCCTGCTGCATCTAGAGTGCGCACGCGCAGGTGCCCAAGTGCTGGAGGCACTGCCCTGAGAGACTGGGGAACGTATAAGTGGTTTTCGTGGTCCAGAGGAGGCAAGTGTGGGTGGATCTGGATTGGGGTAGTCTCAGAAGGGAATTCTGCAGTTCTGTTCCCAGGGCTCAACCTGATGTGTGAGGATCCACCTTGTAGTCAGTGCTGTGAACCCGAAGGTGATCTGGCTTGACAGGTGCCAGTTAGTGAAGGTGGAATGCTGGAACCCTATGGCCCTGGGGTAGTACAAGTTTTTTTTTTTTTTTAATTTATTCTAATTTGTTATACATGATGGACAAGTTTGTTTTAAGATATATGGAACAGTAACTTTTAATATCCCCGGAGAGCTTGCCATATAAAGTGTTAGGTTGAGTTTTAAGCATAAAAGTGAAGTTCCATTACATTCTTAAATAATTAACGTTTTTCATCCCTGGCAACATTAGATGATTTAATAAATTTGGTTAAAAATCATCTGAAGAAAAAAACCTACATAATTTTAATATTTTGGTTTTGGAATAGGTTTTCTAAATATAAACAAGTTTTTTTTAATTTAGAAACCGAGGTGGTAATTTTTTATAAAATCTTGAATAGTAATCTATAAATATCCAAATTATGCCAATGTAAAAATAAAACCTTCAGATAAATGAATTGTGGAAATAGTTATAACAATAACATAAAATGTATGGTTAGGTAATAATCTTAATTTACTTTCACTCTAGTTTAATATTAGTGAATATACCCCAAGAGGAAAAGGAACAAAGTCTAAAAATTCACTATCAACAATATACATAGGAGGGGCTGTTGTTCTGGCTCAGTGGTAGATCGCCTGCCTAGCACCGGTGAGGCAATGGGTCAACCTTCAGCACCACATAAAAATAAAAAATGTATTATATCCATATACATCTAAAATATTTTTTAAAAACCAGTACACATAGTAAAAAAAATCAGTTCTTAGATCGTTGCTCCAGAATCTCCTGAGCGAATCTCAGGAGTATAACAGAAGAATACACACATAGATCAGATAGATTAATGGATTAATTTAAGTCCAAGAATGAACTTTCATATATATATATAGTCAACTAATGTTAAACAAGGCATTCAAGGAGGGAAAAAAAAAACAACATTGCTTTCAATAGACTAGAACAACTAGATAGCCATATGGAAAAGAATGAATTTGGATCCCTACCTCTCACCGTGTACAAATTCAACTCAAAATGGATTGAAGAGTTAAAACAATAAAAATTTTGGAAAGAATACAGGCATAATTCTTCTGATTCTGTAGTTAGCAATTATGTCTTAAATATGATGCAAAAGGGCTGATGCATGAGGCAGTGGGTTTGATCGTAAGCACCACATACAAATAAATAAAATGAAGGTACAATGTACATCTACAACTGAAAAATTAAAAACCTGCTTTTAAAAAAGAAAGAAATAGTTTATTTTTTTAAATGACACAACAATCAGAAGCAACAAGAGCAAAAGAAGAAATTGAACATAATTAAATTTTAAAACTTTAGATTTCAAGGGCCCTCACTTCAAGAAAGTAAGAAGATAACACAAAAGAAAATTTTGTAAATCGTATATAGGATAAGGAATTTGTATCTAGACTAAATAAAGAATTCTTTCAATTCATCAAGAAAAAGATAACCTAAACCAGGTTCTGTAATTTATGGGAGATGATAATATCAAGATTTTTCAGGGAATAGACAAAATAATAAAATTTTTCTTTGTACTGGGGATTGAACTAGGGGCACTCTACCACAGAACTACATCTCCAGCCTTTTTTAATTTTTATTTTGAGACAGAGTCTCTATAAGTTGTTGATATAAGTCAATCTTTAAGATCTGACTGGCCTTGAACTTGTGATACTCCTGCCTCTAATCTTAACTCTCCCAAATGGCTGTGATTATGGGAGTGTGTGTGGCCACAGTTTCTTTCTTCAATAAAATAGCATGCAACATCATACTGCCTGCAAGGTACCAAACTCTTGAATGTTCAATAAATATTATAGGTATATTCCCTTTAAGAAAAAAACGTTTAATATAGGTGTACTTTAAAGTCTTAGAAGAGCACTATTTCCTCGATATTTAGTTATTTACTTACAACTCAAAAGATCACTATTATGCCAGATTCATTAAAGCATTTTTCTTTGACAATTTTTATTGATTATATAACATATATGGATTAGATGATTCCTAAAATGCCAGTACTTTCCAAGTTGACCTGTAGACTGTTGAGCTACAGACTGAATAACATCTCTTTTCCAGCAGGTATGTAGAAATGAACAGACTGATTAACATCTCTTTTCCAGCAGGTATGTAGAAATGAACAGACTGATTAACATCTCTTTTCCAGCAGGTATGTAGAAATGAACAGACTGATTAAAAATTTTTTGTAGAAATTAATATGGCCAAGTATCAGCATGCATAGTATTGACTTTTTTCAGTGACTAACCAGCAACAGTCCCTCTAACAAAGAATGAATCTCAGCCTTATAAGGTAGAGTATCTAAATTGGGTTCTCAATCTCAACATGCGGCTCAAGGAACACTTCTTGTTTTTTGTACCAGGGATTAAACTCAGGGGCACTCGGCCATTGAGCCACATCCCCAGCCCTATTTTGTATTTTATTTAGAGACAAGGTCTCGCTGAGTTGCTAAGCACCTCACCATTGCTGAGGCTGGCTTTGAACTTGGGATCCTCCTGTCTCAGCCTCCCAAGCTGCTGGGATTACAGGCGTGCAACACTGTGCCTATTAAGGAACACTTCTTATATCTGTTAATCTTAAATTTTTTTATTATTTGCTGGCTAATCCCTCCTTATTCTAATTCTTTTAATAGTACTAACTACTTTTATTAATCATTCCCTGTTAAATTACTGTAAAGACTTTCTCTTGATGATACACATACTGATGATTGCCTACTGAGGACTCCAATTATTATTTTTTAATTATTTTTTTATTTAAAAAATTTATCAGTTGTAGATGAACACAATACTTTTATTTATTTTTATGTGGTGCTGAGGATCGAACCCAGTGCCTCACATGTGTTAGATGAGCGCTTTATAACTGAGCCACAGCCCCATCTCAGTTATTGTTGACAATTTTTATTTTTCATTTGTCATTTTTTGTTCCACTTATTTTGTTGCTGTGCTGTTAAGTACATTCAAGTTTCTAATTGTTATACATTACTGATAAATTGATCCTTGCATCATTAGAAAATGTTCCCCTTTCATTTTGAATTGAAGATTATTTTGCCTGATATTGGTAGTTACTTCAGTTATCTATATATCTGCATGGTATATTCTTCAACTGTTTTCCTTCCAACCTACTTGTCTATCTAGATCTAAAGTATCTCTCATAAAAAAGTGGTTGGGTATTTTTTGTTTTGTGAAACTGACAATCTCTACTATTTATCTATCTAGATATTTATTTATATGGTACTGGGGATTGAACCTAGGACATGTTAGGTAAATGCTCAATCATTGATCCATACTCCAGCCATTTTAAAGTTTTATGACAGGGTTTCAAAATTGCCCAAGCTGGCCTGGAACTTACCTGAGCCTCCTGAGTAGTTGGGATTACAGGTGCACACTACAGCATCCAGCAGTCATTCAAGGTTGTTTTTTTTTTTTTTTTTTTGGAGCAGGGGTGATGTTGGAGATCGAACCCAAGGCCTCATGCATGCTAGGCAAGCACTCTACTACTGAGATATATCCCCAGCCCCTCAATCTGTTGTTGTTGTTTTTTAATATATTTTTATTTGTCGATGGACCTTTATTTATTTTTTTATTTATATGCAGTGCTGAGAATCGAACCCAGTGCCTCACACATGCTAGGCAAGTGCTCTACCACTGAGCCACAACCCCAGTCCCCTCAATCTGTTTTTGATTGGATTTTTTTGTTCTGGGAATTGAACCAGGGGTGCTTTATCACCACCAACAACAACCCCAGTCCTTTTATTTTTTATTTTGAGACAGGATCTCACCAACTTGCTAAGGGCTTCACTAAATTGCTGAGGCTGGCCTCAAACTTGGGAACTTCCTGCATAAACTCCAGAGTCACTGGGATTACAAGCATGTACAGTCACCATGCCTGCCTAAATAATCTTCGTTTTCGTAGTAACTTCCAATAAAATACAGAAGTGTGCTTCAGTGAACCCCCATTCCTTCCCCCTTGTGTTACTGTCATATATATTACATCACTATTTAAGTCTAGTAATGTAGTTTTACAATTAATTGTGCAGTTGTCTTTTTAGTCACAGAGAAAAAAATTTATTTTGAATGTTATCTCACTGCTTTATGGCCTTTATTGTTTCTGATGAAAAGTCAGCTGCCAACCTAAGTCATCTTTCTCTTGCTGATGTCAAGATTTTACTCTTGAAAATCTTGTTTGGCTTTTTATTCATCCTAGTTGAATTTCATTGAACTTCTTGGATGTACAGATTTGTTTTTCATCATTTTTAGAAACCCTGAGACTTATTTAACTTTCCTACCCCTTTCAACCCTCTGCTTTAAGGCCCTTCTTTTACCTGTGGATTCCAAGCATATTACATGTATGCTTGTTATGCTTGCTTGTGGTTCCATGGTCTTAATTCTGTTTATTTTTCTTCTTATCTTTGTTTTCTATTTGTTGGATAATTTGTATTGATTTATCATTGAGTTCAGAGATTCTTCCTTCTGCCAGTTCATTCTATTGGTAAACTTGAGAACTTTTCATTCAAGACATTAAACTTTTAAAAATCTAAAATTTCTACTTGGTTCTTTTTAAAAACTAATTTCAATATATTGATATTCTCTACTTGATGAATCATTGTTATCATAATTCCGTTTAATTTTCTTTTTTTTTTTTTGATACTGGGGATTGAACTCAGGGACATGCAGCCACTGATCTACATCCCCAGCCCTATTATTATTTTTTAAAATTTTATTGAGAGACAGGATCTCACTGAGTGTTTTAGCGCCTTACTGTTGCTGAGGTTTGCTTTGAACTCATGATCCTCCTGTGTCAGCCTCCTGAGCCGCTGGGATTACAGGCCTGTGCCACCGTGCCCAGCATAATTCCCTTTAATTTTCTAAATATGGTTTCATTTCAATCTTTGAACGTACATGTAATAATCAATTTAAAGTTTTGCTGTGTTCAATGTCCTAGCCTCCTCAAGGACAGTTTCAATAGACTTTTCCCCAAGCATGATCACATTTTCCCTTTTCTTAGCAATTTTTATTTTTTTCATTGTTGTTAAAAACTAGATGTTTTAGGGCTGAGGTTGTAGCTCAGTGGTTGAGTGCTTGCCTAGCACAGGTGAGGCACTGGATTTGAGCCTTAGTACCACATTAAAAAATAAATATATAAATAAAAAATAAAGATTAAATTCTTTTAAAAAGCTGGATATTTTAGATATACTACTATAGTAACTCTGGATTTTGATCTTCCCTTTCCCAAGAGTTGCTATTCTTGTGCTTATATTTTGGTCTATTTTCTTTCTTTTTTTAAAAAACATTTTTTAGTTGGAGATAGACACAATATCTTTATTTATTTATTTTTATGTGATGCTGAGGATCGAACCCAGTGCCTCATGAGCACAAAGCAAGCACTCTACCACTGAGCTACAACCCCAGCTCTTCATCAACCCTCCATCATCATATAAAATATTACAATTTTTGATACCCTATTAATTATGTGAGTCAATTTTTTCCTCATTATGTATCAATATTTTCCTGGTTCTTTGCATGTCTTCTCACTTATTTTGCTACCAGGGATTGAACCCAGGAGTGCTTAACCATTGAGCCACTTTCCTACCCCTTTTTATGAGACAGTGTCTCACTAAGTTGCTTAGGGCCTTGTTAAGGCTGGATTTGAACTCTGGACCCTCCTGCCTCTCAAGCTGCTGGGATTGGAGGATGGTGCCCGGTGTCTTCTTGCCTTTGGTTGGATGCTAAATACTGAAATGTTACCCTATAGAAAAATATATATTCTAATATATTTTTAAATATTTTTGAGCTTTGTTCTGAAATATATAATTCAGTTATTTGGGAACAGTTTGATTCTTTCAAAGGGCATTTGTTTTGGGGTGTTGGTGGGGATTGAACCCAGGGCCTTATGCATGCCAAGCAGATGCTCTATTACTGAGCTGCACTCCAGTCCCTTAAGGATCACTGTAAGCTTTGATAGGCAAGATCAGAACACCCTTAATTCTATGTGAATTTTTCCTAATAAGGCAATACCCTTCTGAGTAACCCATGTCTTATGAATTATGAGGTTTTTCCTATTCTGATAACACCAACTATTACTGGACCTATAGGAGCTACGAGGATTATTCCCTATACTCACAACAAGTGTTTCTTTCCATAGCTTTGGGTGTTTTTTTTTTTAATTTTTAATATTTATTTTTTAGTTCTCGGCAGACACAACATCTTTGTTGGCATGTGGTGCTGAGGATCGAACCCGGGCCGCACGCATGCCAGGAGAGCGCGCCACCGCTTGAGCCACATCCCAGCCCCACTTTGGGTGTTTTCTACATACATATGAACTGCTCAGTTCTTAGCTAAAGATTCTAGGTAATTCCCTGACAGCTCTACAGGTCTTTCCTGTCTGTGCTCTCTTCTGTATACTTTGGCATCCCCAAACTCCAGTGATTGTGTCTCAATTCTGGAAGAGGACTGGTTTCTGCTTACATTAACTACCCCTGGAATATGGACTGGAAACTTTCCATGTATTATGTTGGGAGAAATAATAGTGCTCATCTTGATTTCTGCAATGGGGATGAGGGTTTTAAACTGCTTGCTTTCTAGTGTCTGAAAAGTGTCATTTATTGAATTGTTTAAGATAGGATGGTATATCCTAGCCTGATATTGTATCCCAGGAGGAAGCAACAATCTAAAAATGTATCTTAATATTTCTCAGTAATGTTTATAAAAATACATAAAGGAAAAACATTTAGTGTTCTAACCATAATATCAAGACCAAGATCCTAATATTAAAAAATGTGGTTGATGGGCTGGGGATGTGGCTCAAGCGGTAGCGCGCTCGCATGTGTGCGGCCCGGGTTCGATCCTAAGCACCACATACAAAGATGTTGTGTCTGCCGAAAACTAAAAAATAAATATTAAAAAAATTCTCTCTCTCTCCCCTCTCTCTCTCTCTCAAAACAAATTCCTTAAAAAAATAAAAAAATAAAATAAAAAATGTGGTTGATAAACCTAGATTCTAAAACTTTTGTGATTACACCTTTTAGTTTGTGTATCAGTTAACATGGAAACTGCCGGGTGCAGCGGCCCAAGCCTGTAATACCAGTGGCTTGGGAGGCTAAGGCAGGAGGATCACGAGTTCAGAGCCAGCCCCAGCAAAAGCGAGGCACTAAGCAACTCAGCGAGACACTGTCTCTAAATAAAACACAAAAATAGAGCTGGTATGTGGCTCAGTGGCCAAGTGCCTCTGAGTTCAATCCCTCATAGCCCTTCCACCCCAAAAAAGAATATGGAAACTAGAAGAATATCTAAAAGTGTCCACTTACTGTAACAGCTGGGGGAAAATGGGAAGAATTAAGAATAGAAGTAAGTGTAAGCATAAAAAGACTAAAAATAATACATTAACCCATATATATTTTATGTGTATGTATATATATGTAACTATAATGTGTGTGTGTGTGTGTGTGTGTGTGTGTGTGTGTCTCTCCTGGGGATTGAACCCAGGGGTACTTTACCACTGAATTATATCCCTAGTCTTTTTTATTTTTTTATTTTGAGACAGGGTCTCAACAAGTTGCTGAGGGTTTCACTAAATTGCCCATGCTGGTCTCAAACTTGTAATCCAACTGCCTCAGTCTATCAAGGAGCTGGGATTATAGGTGGATGCTACCACAAGTGGCTTATCTATACTTTTAAAAGATATTTTTTCAAACTTGCTTACCATTTAAAAAATATTACATTATTTTTACATACTTTTGTTATTTACTTTAGAATAAAGTTTTATTTTTTATTTTACTTTAGAATATTTAGGAAGCTTTCAAAAGTTCTGTTAAATATTTATCACTTATGATTTTAATGTATGTCTTAAACTACTCAATTAATTTGCAAATGATGATTAAGTAGCAATATTTTTAAAAATTTATTTTTAGTTATAATAATATCTTTATTTTTCAATATCTTTATTTTTATGTGGTGCTGAGGATTGAACCCAGTGCCTCATGCATGATAGGCGGGCGCTCTACCTCTGAGCCACAACCCTAGTATTAAGTAGCAATATTTAACTTAGCAATATTTAGCTGATTAAATCCAAAATACTCTCTTTATTGTTTGAATAGAATGTAGTCATTTAGAATATTCCTACCCAACAGAAAAGTTGTATATTCCTAAATAAAAGAAAAGTTGTATATTCCTAAATAAAAGAAAAGTTGTATATTCCTAAAGTTCAGTACACAGGACTATTAAACACTTGACTGTAGTACCACCCATGAACTCGATTTTAAATTTTATTAAATTTTAATTAGTTTAGAATAATCAAATGTAGCTAATGCTACATTTAGATAGTGTATCTAACTGCAGATCTAGAGTAATATTGATTGCTTAATGTTTAAAGAAATGTTAATTCTTCAACAAAGAATTAACATTTTAATTTAAAGCATGGGACAAAAACAAAAGTAAAACTATTAGTGGACAATTAAAATCCTGAACACAGGGCTGGGGCTGTAGCTCAGTAGCACAGCACTTGCCCAGCATGTGTAAGGCACTGGGTTCGATCCTTAGCACCATATAAAAATGAAACAAATAAAATAAAGGCGTACCATCTGTTCATATATAACTATAAAAAGTTTTTAAAAATCTTTAACACATGAAAGAATCTATCACTATTGTTAAGACTGCTGGTAAGTGTCCAAATTTGTCTAGCAGTCAATGGCATTTTATATTCATGTAGAAGAAGCCGGAGTTCCCAACATTGTATTGCCAAGAATACATGATAGTTGATCTTCACTGAAGAGCTGATTTAAGAATGTTCCTTGTACATGGAACCCAGTGGTAGTGTAGAGATGTGTAGTGCTCAAAGAAATGGTGCTGGGGCAGGTACACAGTTCAATTAACCTATAGGGTCCAAGCAGAGTAAAAATTAAAACATAAAGTACCAGATGGATTTGGAAAAGTAATTAATATTATGAAAGGAGATGGGGGTGTAATATGGAAGAGCATTTGTCTTCCATACCCAAGGCCCTGAGTTCCAAACCAGTACCACAAAACAAACAAAACTCTTAAAGGGAAATTCCATTAAATAATAAAAAACAGGACCATATGAGTTTAGACCAAGTTTTATGTAACTTAGTGAATAAGTAATGGCAAAAACAAAAAATTAATATTATATTCTCAATAGTAATATGTGAACGCCAATATTAATGTCAATTTTGAATATTTGTTTAAAAATTCTGAACAAAATATTCACACAAAAAAATGAAGCAATTTATCAAAACAACAGCATACTATGGCAAAGCACGTTATATTCCAGAGACAGCTTAAAAGAAGAAATCAGCATAAATGACCACATTACCATACTAAAGGAGAAGTCTGAATCCCGGAATAAAATTGGATACAAAAGAAAAAAAAAAAGCAAATACGAGTTTCTGGCAAAATATTGTGCTAATAATTTCTATCATATTGGTTAAAAGATTGAAATACCTCAAAACTGGACATAACCATATTTATCTTTTTTTTAGTTGTAGTTGAACACAATACCTTGATTTCACTTATTTATTTTTATGTGGTGCTGAGGATCGAACCCAGGGTCTCACACATTCGAGGCGAGCACTCTACCACTGAGGCACAACTCCAGCCCCCATATTTATCTTAATAAAATAAAAAATAATTGTTTGAAAATTTCATTTCTATTCTAGATGATATGAATGCTTGGAAATTCCACATTCTATTAAAAATAGATTATCAGATTTTCATTAGATTGAAAATAGTAACATCCAAATATAACATGAAGGGACAAGGGGAGGATACTCTTAACATGGTAAGGAAAATCATGAGTGTACTTTTGAAAATCCATTACCAGGAAAAGGAAAGTTGAAAAAACAGACAAAAGGAATAACTAGGAAAGTCAGTGAAAACTGGACTCTCCAATAAGTTTTAATAAAAGATATTTAATAGATTAGTTAAAAATAAGTATATTTAAGTTTATAAATTAACAATAGTAGTAAAGATCCAGGTATAATAAGCCACGACTGCAATTAGACACTGTTGCTTATAATCTCTATTTGAAACTCACAATATTCAAGATAGAGTTTGAAAAATTGTCAATAACCTGAATATTGATCCATAGAAAGAATTTAAACACATTAGATATATTTACACAGCTTCAGCTGGAAGGCCTTTTGTTTTGTAGAAAAGTAATAGTACTGGAGTACAGAGAAGGTAGCTAACCACATATCATCATTCAAGCTGACTGCTTGAATTTCAGCACTATGTCTTGTGGTAAGCTTTGGTACCACAAGACATAGTGCTGAAATTCAATTTTGAGGGTTACTCCTTTAAGTTTTGGCAGCATTTCAACATATGGTTTCACATCCCAAATTTTAGTAGGTAATAAGGAATGCGAGTTCCAAAGTCATATTTAGATATGCTAGATTACACTTAATTTTCAAAATTCACAATTGCAGGGGGGAAAGGTTAATATTCAGTAATGAATTGCAGACAGAAGAAATATGGATGAGTAGATAGTAATGCATGATAAAACTATCATTATAGACATTTGGCTGACAGTGCAGAATGTGATATTCCTTAGTTTGAAAAGCTAGTTACTTTTTCTATCAGGTTAGAAGTGATTTAAGGAAGCAATCAACTGTTATTCTGAATTTAAAAATGTTAAAAGTTTTTTTTTTTTTAAATAATCAATAGTGTTGGGCTGGGATCGTGGCTCAGTGGTAGAATGCTTGCCTAGCACGTGTGAGGTATTGGGTTTGATTCTCAGCACCACATATACATAAATAAAATAAAAGTCCATTGACAACAAAAAATATTAAAAAATAATAATCAATAGTATCATGTACATATGAAAATTCATCCTATTTTAAAAAAACTGTATATAAAGCTCAGAAAATTTGAAGGAAAAAAGGAGAATATTATTGCATTTTTCTCTTAATTTATCAAGAATATATTGAACCAGAAGAATTTTGAATTGACTTTTCCAAAAAATAACTTTTTACTACATAGCTGTTTTAAAAGAACCTTGGAGTTTGATGATATAATGTCCAGAAAATTTCTTTTGACCTTCATGAGTGAAATTCATGAAACTTGATTTTTTTAGGAGCAACTATCAATAGTTTATGACAAAAATTCTATTCAACATATAACAAAGAATGAAAAGTGTTATTAGAAATTATATCCTTCCTGATGTTTTAGCTGAGGAATGGTCGGACTATGCATATAATTTTCAATTGTCTTTTTTTTGGGGGGAGGGGGATTGCCAGAAATTGAACTCAGCGTACTCAACCACTGAGCCTCTTCCCCAGCCCTATTTTGTGTTTTATTTTGAGACAGGGTCTCACAGAGTTGTTTAGTGCCTCACCATTGCTGAGGCTGGCTTTGAATTCACAATCCTCCAGTCTCAGGCTCCCCAGCAGCTAGGATTACAGGTGTGCGCTGCTGTGCCTAGCTCAATTGTCTTTTTAAAATTCATATTTCCTACAATATCCATGGTTATGTTTGATAAACTACATTATTTTACAAATATAATTCCTCAAAAATATATTAAAGGGGCTGGGGTTGTGGCTCAGCGGTAGAGTGCTCACCTAGCACAGGCAAGACCCTGGGTTTGATCCCCAACACCATATAAAAATAAATAAAGACATTGTGGTCCAACTATACAACTAAAAAATATTTAAAAATATATATTAAATATTTCTAAATATTTTTGTTAACTTTTAACTTAAAATGTCCTTCATTTCTTCAATTTTATCTACTTATTTAGTTCATATTCCACAGGAAGAGGAGGTAGTGGGATTTGAATAAAAATCTATAGTTTTGTGTGTGTGTTTGTGTATGTGTATGCAGTACTCATGATTGAACCCAGGATTTTGCCCTGAGCTACACATCCCCACCCCAAAACTATAGTTTTATTTCATAATGATTAGTCTTTATATTTAGTTTTATTAATCTTTTCTTAATTATTATAGTTTTTCTTTCTGCTAGTTGCATAAATTAACTATTTCTTTCCACAGCGTTTATTGTGTAGTATCTAACAGTCATTTTAGATATGTCATAGATACAGAGATGAATAAAATAAAAATAAATGAATAAATTTTCATTTATTCCTGATTTCTAATGCACTAAAGGGATTGTATTCAATGAAAAATTGAGAGTTGCCACTTAAATAATATTTTACAATGCAGAATTAATAATCATATAAAAACCTTCCATGTGCTTTCAGCAATATGCACTATCATTCATAGTCTGTCTAAAAACCTAAACCTAATCTCAACCTAATTAATTCTATAGACCTAGGTTCTAATTATAGGGGAAATGAGGGACAGAACAACAGGTAACATATCACGAATGAGTGATATACTTTGAGAATCAAAAAAAAAATCATAAGCATGAAAAGTGGAGTGTAATACCTTAGAAAAGAGAGAATAATTTTTAAAAATACAGTAAATTAACCTAGAGTGGATTCTGATTAGAAAATAAATAACTATAAAAACATCAATGGCTGAATAGCTTTCAAGAATGTTTTTCTATTGTGATTATCAGGAAAATATATTTAAGGGTGAAATGTCATAATGTTTGCAACTTATTCTCAAATGCTACAGAAACAATTCATCAATAATCAGATATAAAAAGTTGAAAGAAACAGAATCAGCAAATAGCATGAATGTAAACATGAGTTGCTGAATATTTCTTTCAAATTTTCTATATATCAAATAAAAATACAATTACAAATTTAGGAAAGGTCTCCAAGAAGACAATTTACTTCTTGCTATCCCATTACTAAGCCCTACTTTATCTTAAATGGTGAACACAGAATATAAATTGTTGGCTATTAATCAAATAATTATACAAACTAAATCATATACTTTTATTTCCAAAATTTTGTAAAACTTAATGGATGAGAGTCTTTGAGAATGTGTTCTAATTACACAACTAGACTCTTACATAATAATTAATCAGCAATACAATCTGATAATAACTCATATTTACAGAGTATAAGACCATATGGCACATAATCTTCCAAGGTATGTGTACCACTTTCATCCCATAATAGGGCTATCATGTAGGTTCTTGAATAGCATTTTATAAACGATGTCTGTAGATGATAATTATCTTTGACAATGACACATGGGGGTAAGGTGGGAGAATAGCACTGATAAGGCTTGCATTATATGATATTACTGCCTATGTGACAATAACAAATTCATTCATAAGTTTTAAGAGTTTATAAATGAGTATTGGAAGGTGTAATGATTTAAAAATATGTCTGCAAGCCAGGCACGGTGGCACACCCATGTAATCCCAGTGACTTGAGAGGCTGAAGCAAGGAGGATCCCAAGTTGGAGGCCAGCCTCAGCAACTTAGTGAGGCCCTAAGCTATTTAGCAAGACTCTGTCTCAAAATAAAAATTTAAAGGGGCTGGGAATGTAGCTCAGTGGCAGAACACCCTTGTGTTCATTCCCCAGTATCATAAACTCCCCAAACACAAAAAAAAATGTCTGTGAATATTTTGACCTTCTTCTCTTTTAAAGGCGAAACTGAAGAAAAGAGACCAGTGGGTAAAAAGGGGATAAGGGGAGAGGGAAGGGAGGAGCGGAGGTAAAGGAGTGGTACTGAAGAATGAAATTGATCAAATTATGTTATGTATATGTACCAATATATCACAATGGAACTCTCCATTCTGTATAATTAATATATACCATTTTAAAAATGTAGAACTGAATTCCTCTTGAATGTAGGCTAGATTTATTGTCATGCTGCTTACAAACAGAATATGGCAGAGGTGACTTCCAAACCAAGAATATTAAAAAGATCATTTCTGAGCATAGCCAACTGTCATGTCACAGGTACACTTAAGAACCATAAGGAGAGCTAGGTGTGGTGGGACATGTCTGTAATTCCAGCAGCTCAGAGACTGAGGCAGGAGGATCACAAGTTCAAAGCAATTTAGCAAGGCCCTAAGCAATTTAGTGAGACCTTGTCTCAAAAAAAAAAAAAAAAGCGGGGGTGGGGTGGGGATGTCACTCAGTGGTAGAGTGCTCCTGGGATCAATCCTCAGTACCAAAAAAATGGAAGAAGGAAGCATAAGGAGAGGCCCCATTGGAGAGGAAACAAATTGCCCCTGAAAACTTATCAGTCACATAACTAAGCTGTCTTTGAAAGCACATTCTCCAGCCTCTGTCAAGTGTTTAGATAACACTTAGCAACCTCTGGAGACACAGGATCTAAACTGCCCAGCTTAGTTGCTCCAAATTCCCTACTCACAGAAACTGTGAGAAAAATACATACTTATTGGCAGTTTGGCTACTAATTTTTAGGGAGCTTTGGAATGTTAGCATGATATTATCAGATTTTGGTACCTTGTCAGGGATACTATTGAAAGCTAAAAGTGTCTTGAAGATAAAAATAACTTTTACTAGGAACCTGGAGAGTTCTGAGGAGGCAATAAGTGAGGACTTATGGAAAACTGAACACTGTTACTAGAGGCAACAACTCATTTTTGAGAGTTTATAAATGATTGAGTAAGGTGTAATGATCTAAAAATAAGTCTGCAAGCCAGGCATGGTGGCACACCATGTTATGCAGTAGTAGCAGAAAACCTAGCAAACTCGTTGCATGTGATAACATGAACAGTAGAAAATAATACCTCATGAACTTGGGTAATTTAGCCAAGTAAGCTTCCAAGAGACATGCTGAAGATGCCACCTAGGTTTTTGTTGCTTAAAAGAAAGTATAAGAATTGAGATAAGCTAGGGGCTGAGGTTGTGGTTCACAGGTAGAGCGCTTGCCTAGCACATGCGAGGTGCTGGGTTCAATCCTCAACACCACATTAAAATAAAGGTATTGTGTCCAACTACAATTAAAAAATATTTTTAAAAAATAATTGAGATAAGCTAAAGAACAACTAAACAGAAGTGGACCAGGGGGCTGCAGTTGTGACTCAGTGGTAGAGCACTTGCCTAGCATGTGAAGCACTGGGTTCCATCCTCAGCACTGTATAAAAATAAATAAAGGTATTATGTCCATTTAAAATTAAGGAATTTAAAAAGAATGCCTTCCAACAATGATGACCGTGACTTGGTACTCTGTATAGAATAATTTACATTTGCATAATTTGCTCAAGAAGCTCCCCAATTCTTATTCATTTTACAGCATCATTCTCAGTCCAGAATTTCCTCAAAGATGAGGATGGCTTTTTCTTAGCACTCTCACTGTTCAAATGGATTAGTCAGTTTTTCATTACTATAATGAAATACCTGAGGCAAGTTAGCTTTATAAAGAAAAGAGGTTTATTTACCTCACAGTTTTGGAGGTTCAAGGCATTGCACTGGCATTGGCTTAGCTCTTGTGAGGCTCTCATGGCCAAGTGTCCTTAGAATGGTGGTACACGTAGGAAGAAGAGATCACACTGCCAAGCAAAAATCCCAGGAGCAGCTAGGGTTATACAGTCCCTGGAGTTTCACAGCCTCTTCTGAGAGGACACCTTCAACTGACATGAGGACCCCCCCACTGGGCCCTACCTCTTAAAGGTAGCACTAGCAAACTGGAGACCAAGCTTCTTTGGGGGACACTTACTTCAAACCACATAGAATGTAAGAAAGTAACCAGTGTGACTCCTGGGGAACAGGAGCCTGACCAACAGTCAAGTCTTCAGATGATTAATCTCATGAAAACCTCAATGCTCCTGAATTTTTGGCCCATAAAACCTGTGAGAAATATTATTGTGTTAAGACATTAAAATTTGGGGTAATTTGTAACAACCATTAATGTCCAGTAGAGAAGGCTCCCTTTAGTATAAAATTCCGTGCCATGGACATTGAAGGCATATAGACATGAAGAAATTGGGAATTCTATTTTGTTTTAAATTTGCCAAGAATCAGATATTTCATTAAAACAGAACTGACACTGAAAGCCTTCTAATGTGTCAAGAACTGTATTATGAAGTCTCATTTGCTAAATACATACCTATAAGACTAATATTTAATCATTTCTCACCAAAGTGATTTGTCCTTGCCTATTCTTTGACTTTCACACCTGTATGAATTCCTTGATGTGATTTAAGGGCTGAACCGTATCTAAAGCTCTTCCCACACTGTTGGCACACATAGGGTTTCTCACCGGTATGAATTCTCTCATGTTGAACAAGGTTTGAAGAACGACTAAAGGCCTTACCACACTTCTTACATTCATAAGGTTTTCTACCAATGTGAATTTTCTGATGTTGTGTAAGGTACCCACACATTTTAAAGGCTTTTCCACATTCTTTACATTCATAGGGCTTTTTATCAGCATGAATACTCTGATGTGCAGTAAGGTGTGAACTACGTCTAAAGGTCTTCCCACATTCTTTACATTCAAAAGGCTTCTCCTGAGTATGAATACTCTGATGTAGAGTAAGATTTCTACAGAAAGTAAAGGTTTTCCTGCATATCTTACACTCATAGGGTTTCACACCAGTATGGATTTTCTGATGTTGATTAAGATATCCATGCAAGCTGAAGGTCTTTCCACATTCCTTACACTCATAGGGCTTCTCACCAGTGTGGGTTTTCTGATGTTGCACAAGGTTAGAGCGAGTACTGTAGGCCCTCCCACACTCCTGACAAACAAAAAGTTTCTTCCCAGAATGAATATTCTGATGCCGGGTAAGATTTCTATATAAGGTAAAGGTTTTCTTACACTCCTTACATTCAAAGCGTTTCATACCAACATGAATTTTCTGATGTTGATTAAGGTATCCATACAAGCTAAAGGCCTTCCCACACTCCTTACATTCATAAGGTTTCTCACCAGTATGAGTTTTCTGATGTTGAAAAAGTTTTGAGCCAGTAGTATAGGCCTTTCCACATTGCCCACATTCAAACAGTTTCTCACCAGTGTGAATATTCTGATGTTGAGTAAGATTCCTATACAAGGTAAAAGTCTTTTTACACTCCTTGCATTCATATGGTTTCCCACCTTTATGAATTCTCTGATGTAGAACAAGGTATGAGGCAGTGGTATAGCCCTTCCCACATTCTTTACCACTCATATGGCTTTTTACCAGTATGAACACTCTGATGTACAATAAGCTGATGACTTCTTCTAAAGGCCTTCCCACATTTCTCACACACATATGGTTTCTTGTTAGTATGAATTTGTCTATGTTCAACAAGGTTTGAGCATCTACTAAAAGCCTTCCCACATTCCTTACATTTATAGGGTTTTTTACCAGTATGAATTCTCTGATGAATTTTTAGGTGTCCACCTTGACTAAAGGCCTTCCCGCATTGCTGACACTCATAAGGCTTTCCACTGGTGTGAATTCTCTCGTGTTGGGCAATGTGTGAGGAATAAATAAAAGCCTCTCCACATTCCCTACATTCGTATGTTTTCTCACCCGTATGAAATCTCTGATGTACAGTAAGTTGATAACCACTTTTAAAGTTTTTCTCACAGTATGTACATTCATAAGTTTTCTCACCAGTATGAAATCTTTGATGGAGAATAAGTTGATAGCTGCTGCGGAAGTTCTTCCCACACTCTTTGCATTCATAGGGTCTCTCAACAACATGAAACCTATGGTGTAGAATTAATTGGTAGCTACTCCTAAATTTTTTCCGGCATTTCTTACATTCATAGAGTTTCTCTCTGCTATATATGCTCTGATGTTGTGTAGAAGATACATCTTTCTCATAAGTGGGCATTTCTAGATAGCTGATTATCTCACATTGTAAACCCCAATCTGAAATAAGAATACAAAAAATATTTGTATTTCTTATCAGATGACATAAAACATGTATAAAAGAAATAAGCAACATTCCTAGTAAGTGAATGGCTTACAAAAAATCTAAAAACACAATCAATGAAGTGTGAAGAAGGCCAAAAAGAATTCAGAGATGTATGGGACTGAATATCAGATAATGAAGTTACTGATCAAGGAAACAGACAATGTTAGGGTGTAGGTCAGAATTTGTGATAGACTTGTTATAAATCTGCTATCTTGGCACTATTAGAGACCAAATGAATTATAATTCAGAAGAGGAAAAACTTTAGCATCTTTATTTATAATCTATCATTAATTTAGATTCAATATTTAAGAATTCATCCTTTTAAGTTTTTTAATTTTTTTTTGAGAGAGAGAGAGAGAGAATTTTTTAATATTTATTTTCTAGTTATCGGCAGACCCAACATCTTTGTTTGTATGTGGGGCTGAGGATCGAACCCAGGCCGCATGCATGCCAGACGAGCGAGCTACTGCTTGAGCCACATCCCCAGCCCCATCCTTTCTCTCTATCTGTTCCTCAGATGTGAGAGGTTTTTCTTCCATCTTACACATCCAGGGACAGGCAACTT